CCTCCTCAGTCGCCCCCTCGTCCCCCGCCCTCAAGCCCGATGTTTTTGGGGAAAGGAGGGAGCTCACAGGCGTCCAGTCCCTGGTCGAAGCAATGCCGTCGCCCGTCCGCATTGCTGGCACGGTCCTGGTCGTTGCCGCCGCCGCCGCCGGCGGATATGGGCTCGGGTCGAGGCTCGTCAGGTCCCGCAACGCCGCCCTGGGCGGAGCGGTGTTGGTCGGGGCGGCCGGCGCGGGGGCAGCCTACGCCCTGAATAGCTGTGTGCCCGAGGTTGCAGCCGCCGGTTTGCGCAATTACGTGGTGGGCTGTGACGATCCTTGGGCTATCAAGAAGGAGGAGATTGACGCCATTGCTAACAAGTGATCTTGATTTCTTATTCGCATTCACTTACATTGTCTTGAATGTATTGTGTGTGCTAATTGGGTAGAAGCAATCTTTTTTTTTTTTTTTTGTTGATAAAACATTGAAAATACCTAAGGGTCCAAGTGGAATGACGAGTAGCAATCTTCGTTTTGTATTTTTCCTTCCTAACTACTGTTCCATAATTCTCTAGATATGGTATTAGCAAGCAGAATGAGGAGTTCAATGCGGAGCTTTGTGATATTTATTCCCGGTAAGCATGTATGCCAAATTTTAGCTCTTATGACCTGTGTGCTTGTACATGTAGAAAGCTAATTGCTTTAACTGAACATTTTTAGGTTCGTCTCTTCTGTTCTTCCTCCTGGAAATGAAGACCTCAGAGGTGATGAAGTTGATACCATCATTAAATTCAAAAAAACATTGGGCATTGATGACCCAGATGCAGCAGCCATGCACATGGAGGTAGTATTGCATCTAATGCTTAATTTTATAGCAAACTGTGAGATTGCTTTTGGCTTAATGACTTACTGGAGACTACACATTTTCAAACTTTTAATTATGATTTCTCAGATTGGTAGGCGCCTTTTCAGGCAAAGACTTGAAACTGGAAATCGTGAAGCTGATATGGAACAACGTCGGGTATGATGTTGTTTGGTGCTTTACCGTGATGTAGTAACATGGAGATATGGAACTTGACTGTTTTCTATGTTTCAGTGCAGGCATTTCAGAAGCTAGTATATGTCTCGAATCTTGTATTTGGAGAAGCATCTGGTTTCTTGTTACCTTGGAAACGTGTGTTCAAGGTCACTGATGCTCAGGTAATCCTGCTTGCAGTATCTTTTGCTAATTGCATTTTTTGAAATTTTACGTAGTTTTGTGAGTTCTCTATACTGATGTCATTGCTGTTTTATATCAGAAGTAGTGGTAGTGTAAAATTTTTCTTTTCAGATTTGCAGATGTTTTTTAATTGCCTTTTGTCTATCAGGTAGAGATTGCTGTCCGGGATAATGCTAAATGGTTGTATGCTGTCAAGCTTGGATCGATCTCCCAAGGTGCTATTATCGGTTATATTTTGTGAATATCATGAACTTCACGACGTCGTCTTCCGACCACTGTAGCCTACTTTTTATTTGTTTTAATTTCTGCTCAGTTTAAATACTTCTATTCTGTGAAGTGTGAACATTTTCTATAATTTATCATTTATCACTCTGCTCCCATCCCTTTTATATCTCATTTTCTTGACTTCATATGGCTTGATTAAGTTAACAAAATTGAATAACAAACATATCAGTAATGGCGGTAAGACGTGGCAGATTTCTGTCTAGCTGTCATGCTAAATTTGTGAAGGATGGTGGTTATGGCGGTGTCATAGTCCGCCACGGCCGGATTTTGGCCTGCCGTTATTTTCTGCCATCAGCCATTGATAACACTGAAGCATATTGAAAATTTTGTTATCCCTTTGTAGGACTTTGCTCTTATGCATTTGAATGCTGTAAGTCATGGCTTTTAAATATTTGCATTTGCTGTACTTTTTTTATGGTTTGGACCCAAGTCATTGCCTTTACCCTATCAGGTCTCTTGTGCTTCCCTTTTCCACGTATGATCTCTTGTTAGCTTTATTTCTATTTAGTCACTTCCGTTATCGTAGCACAGACTGGTTTAGTATCTGGGTGATAGCGATATTAACATGGCTTAAGTTGTCTCCAGATATCGATGTGAATGAGCTGATCAGGCTTAGAGAAGCCCAACTTCTTTATCGACTTTCTGATGAGGTATTGTTATCGGTGAAATCTAACGAGAGCTTGCATGCATTCAATACCTTTTAGCTGTTATTTTGTCAATAAATTTTGAACTGCAGCATAACATCTATATTTGATTTCTGGAAGTAGTTGATTTCTAAAAGCTTATTATCTTTGCAGCTTGCTGAAGACATGTTCAGGGAGCATACAAGAAGGATCGTTGAGCAAAATTTATCAGTAGCCATCAGTGGATTACAGTCCAGAAATAGTGCAGTGTATGAACGCTATCATGTTCTTGAAATTACTGATATGTGCATAAGTTTTTGCGAAAAGGAAATGACAAAAAAGTAGCATGATAGGTTCTAATCACTTTTTATAGGCTGCTCTTGCTTCTTGGGCTTTGAGCAAGTTTATTATAAGAATTTGGCCCTGCAGTTGAAATATTTATTGGAATGTTTTGTGGTAGGGTTTTATCTTTACCATTATTATTATTTTCCTTTTTGAGTAAACCCACATTAAAGGTGGGCTTGAAGCTGGGTCCCTATTTGTAAACTATCAATAATTACTTCTTGATTAGATTGTTGCTTTATTTTTCATTAGGAGGCATGATGTCATGGCATGTAAGGTCAATATTCAATATCTAATACTTAATGAACACCATAGTGGGCGGTCAGTTGTGAGGAAACAACCTTGAGCTAACAACCCTGGTCAAGCCCCAATCTGAGATTGGTTAATGACCAAGGTTGGTCTGATTAATATTTCACTCTTGATGAGTGATAGCCATCTTGGTGTAAAATCCTATTTATTGCAGACCTTAGGTCACGGCAATTGCACGATCTTACTGCTCGATGATGATGTAGGTTATGTTTGGTAGACAAATAAGCTAGCTTATAGTTTATTTGGTTAGCTTATAAGTTTCATGTATTTAAATAAGTTTCATTTGGTAGGAAAAAGCTCGAGTTTATCTCATAAGCTTCTTTGGGTAACTTTTCAAATAAGCTAGTTGAAATTTTTTATTTCAGCTAGCTTATCAGCTAATTTTACCAAACACTTCTATCATATAAGCTAGCTTTTCAGCTATAAGCTATAATTACTTATAAGCTATAAGCTAGCTTATCAGCTAGTTTTACCAAAACGTAGCCGTATAGCTGCATGCAATCCTAATTTTCTGTGTATTCTTTGACCTTCAGTCAGTACTGGCATTTCTTTTGACTAATCTCTAACATTTTAGCTCTTTGTTTGCCTGAATGAATTTGCCGTCGACATCACAGGAAACGTGGAATTGAGGAGCTTGATAAGATATTAGCTTTTAATAATATGCTAATCTCACTTAAAAGCCATCCTGATGCCAGTCGCTTTGCTCGTGGTGTTGGGCCTGTATCTTTAATAGGTTCGTTCATGAAGCAATTCTTCCTTTGCTGCATTCAAGGATCTCGATTCTGGTTTTAATCCTGCTCTCATTTTAGTAAATTTTAGTTTTTCCAGGGAACCTTTTGTGCTCTCTTTCTAAAAAAAGTGTCTCCCTAGTCTAAACTCGTTATCTCAATCTTTATCCATGGTTTTGTTCAGGTGGGGAGTATGATGGTGATAAAAAGATACAGGATTTGAAACTTCTTTACAGAACGTATTTGACAGATGCTTTATCAGAAGGTCGCTTGGAAGAAAACAAGGTGCTGCATGATGCTGTTTTAAAATGTTGTAGACTATATTTTCAACTGCAAGAAATGACATCAGCGCAGGAACTGTTTCTTTAGTTTCCAATAGGGGAGTCAGGGTGATTTATATTAGAATAGTCTAATGTGTTGTATTTTCTCTTTCACTTGGGATTGTCTCAGCTAGCTAGTGCTTGATTTATTACATGAACTAAGAAGAGGGTGATTACAAATTTCTACAATATCTGTTAGACAAATTATACATGATGTGGTGTATTTAAGTTAACAGCGGCATACGTCGGAAGTAATTTTAATATTCCTTTAACCTTCTTTCTTCGACTGTTTAATGACTGTTTGTTTTGCTTTTATTGTAGCTTGCTGCACTAAACCAACTTAGGAATATATTTGGTCTAGGGAAACGAGAAGCAGAGACAATTTCGCTAGAAGTTACTGCACAGGCGTATCGTAGACGTCTTCAGCAGGCTGTATCTGGCGGTGATCTAAAGAATGCAGATAGTAAAGCAGCCTATCTTCAAAATCTATGTGAAGAGCTGCACTTTGATCCGCAGAAGGCCATAGAAATTCATGAAGGTTTGGTTTTATCAATCTATTTTCTCTTAAAAGAATAACAAAAAGTTCTTCGTTAAGTTTGATTTGTCCTTGTACTATTTTGAAACATAGAGTTCCCATGACACATAAGGCCTCTCAAGCAAATATAGAGTGTTGTTGTTCTGTAGAATCTATGTGAATCCGAATATTTACTTGTTTAGAAATTTACCGGAGGAAGCTTGGCAAGTTGGTAGCTGCTCAAGGCGAACTCAGTGATGACGATGTGGATACCTTGGAACAGATACAAATAATGTTCTGCATTCCAAAGGGAACTGTTGAAAAAGCTCATTCAGATATCTGTGGCAGATTGTTTGATAAGGTAACCGTCCCCCCCCCCCCCNNNCCCCAGTGATTGCAGTTTAGAAGGTGGAAAGCCAGAACAGACTATCACTCTTTTGTCAAATACATTTCTAAAACATATCCAAAAATGCATCATTTTATGTGTTTGCATGCATGTGAATATAAGGATTAGCAATGTACGTTGTCTCCATCTGGAGTAACAATTTTTGCGTAGTCGGTCTTTAGTTGTTGAGTGCACTTATGGACATTGTTTTATCAGAAAGTTTCTCTCTCTTTTTTTTTTTTTTAAAGCTAGAAACTTACTGTAAATAGGATTCATTCAGGGCAGAACAAAATTATTTTCAATGAACAACTGAATAGTATTTTGCCTCTTGCATAACGCTTGTATTATTTCATAGTTATGTCATATTTCTTATGGCTCCAAGCAGTTGGTGATCTTTCTTGTTGGAGATTATTCTACTTTTACTTAGACTAGTTGATACCCGTGCGATGCACGGGGTGCAAGACAAGAAATATTTTTTATTTAAATTTTATTAAATTATTTAAGACAACATTAAATTATATTCTCCGCAATATTCTATTTAGTAATAATAGGACATTTATTTATCTACTATCATTGTTGATTTCTATTTATCTACTATCATTGTTAATTTCTATTTTTTATAAATTACTTTTTTGTAGTTTTTGACTATTTAATATCTGTTTTTGACTATTTATCTACTATCATAGTCATATATTTCCTTTTTTAACAATTCAAGATTTGCACATTGATTGATAATTGACCTATGTTTAACTCATGATATTTATCTTTCGCGATAACTATTAAGTGCATTAAATATTAAAAACTTTGATAAATAAATTTTAATTTTTAGTAAGTTTAATCCTTATGCAACACAAATTTTTTTATGGTTAAATATTATACTTTATTTTTTTATGTTTTTATTTATATTTATTTATCTAATTCATTTTTCAACTTATATAATGAGTTACATAATATCTATTCGAAATATATTATAAATTTCATAATTACCATGTGTTATAATTTAAATTATTATACATTGCTTAACTTGTTTTTTATTAATAAAATAGTATATAAGAAAAATATATATATTTTTAAAATTGAATAGTCTTTTAATGTACATAAATACTTTTAGTGAAATTTATAGTTTTGAATTGCACCCGACCATCAAATTTTATTTTTTTTAGTATATTATTTAAATTTCAATAGTATTATCACTGTGCATATGATATATTCAATGGGGATGTACTTTTTTATAGTTAAATTGACTACATTTAAAAATTTTTATTAATAATTTATTAAGTTATTACGATTTAAACATAGAAATTGACTACATTTTAAGTACTTTTGAATAGTGAATATAATTATTTAAATTAATATCTACAACCATAGATGATAATATATTTAATCAAATCGATTTCCATATTAATTTTATGAATTGTGTCAATAAATAACTATTAAATTAATATAGATCTTATTGAAAATATATCTAATAAATCTACCTAATAAATCTACGGTTAAGCCAATTTGTAGTTAATGAATAATAGTCATTGAGTGTATAGAAATTAATTATGTTTTTCATGCATAAGATTTGTTAATAAATAAATAAATATTAATTAAATGCCAAATATAGACAAAAATATTTTCCCGCCCAAAATCATGTCAATTATGGCATAAGGATTGGTCCATTATATAGATATAGATATAGATATAGATATAGATTTTGTACTCAATATATAAATTTGAAAAGGAACTTATCCATTCACAACTTCATTCTTCAAGCTTAGGTGGCTCCATTGAATTTTTATTTGTAGCCAAATGGAGTTTAAATTAAGCCCTAACAAAGTCATAGATATTAGTTTGGTTAAAATGTTCTATTTATTAGTCGTAGTTGGTCTATACTTGAAGGTTTCAAGTGATAACATTTACAACTTTATTATTCATTGTATAAACAGTACTCAAAAGTGAGTGTCTGCTTGTATTGATTGGCGCATTATCATTTACTGGTTACCCATTATATATTACAGCTCGTCAGGGGAGCAGTTTCTGCAGGCGAAAAAGGATATGACGCGGACACTAGAAAGGCCATCAGAAAGGCTGCCTTTGGTTTGCGCTTAACCAGGGACATGGCAATGACTATTGCTAGTAAAGCAGTGAGTATTGGTGCCATGATTTTATATATATGCAATTTTTTAGTCGGACTTGAAGATCCCAAAAGACGATCAATTTGATGTAAATAGGTTGAATATGTATTAAAAACACAAAAGTTGTTTATTTAAGTTTGAAAATAACTTAGACACTTATCATTTAACAACTAAAAAAATGGCAGGAATAATTAAAGATCATATACATGAATAGACTTGTCCTCTCTTTATATATATATTTGTATAGATTCTCTTATAACAAATGTGACACTTATTTCTGGTACCCACGTCCATGATAATTTCATAGACTCCTCTCCTTAAAATTATTATAATGATAACGATTGTAGAATATGATTTAATTTACATCCATGACAATCGTAAAAGTATCGATCAAATTTGAAACTAAGAGTTAAAATATGGATCATATAAATGTACAATCTGAGTCATATAGATTAATCACTTTTTCAGGAAATTATTATTGCATAAATTTATTGGATTATTTATATTGTTTTGATTGTGTATATACAACTTATATGACAAAATGAAGATTATTGGAAAACGTGTAGATTGATATGCTATGAGTAAAAGTGGATTAAAATCACAAAAGTTATTTTATGTTTGGAAATAGGTCAAACACCGGTTTAGTTAGTTAGTTGTTGAAGAATGACGTAGTCGAATCCCATGGGTGAATCTGTTGGTGGAACTTTTATTTCTTGTAGTGTAAGAACATATATTATCTTTTTCTTGTTTGTTGAGCATTGTGACAAAAAAATTTGAAAAATAAAAAATAAAAAATACTGGAGAAATGGTAGATAAGGATTCTCTCATCATCTAGTGCCATAAATGTGACACCGTGACACTTTTTTTTTTCTTTTTTTTTTTTTTCTGATTCCTGCTTCCATGAAAATTTTGGTATATTCAGGTTCGCAATATGTTCATCAGCTTCATCGAAAGTGCTGAGGCAGCCAAGGACCGAGACGATACAGCCATGGAACTGAAGAGGATGATAATTTTCAACAAGTTAGTTGTTACTCCACTAATCGCTGACATCAAAGGCAAGGACTCTCCCGATACCCCTCCACAGGAAGACCTAAAACCCGAACAAACATTGGATATTGATGAGGAATGGAAATCCCTGGCATCGATCAGCAAAGTGCTCCAGAGCAGGGATGCCCCCACCTTTGGAAATCCAATCCAAAAGGACATAAACCTCAAGGATGACCTTCCGGAGAGGGAAAGAGTCGATCTTTACAAGTCCTACCTGCTATATTGTCTCTTAGGTACAGTTAACAAGGAGCAATTTGGCCAGATCCCAGTAGAGGTGGATGATACCGAGTACATCAGTTTAAACCAGTTAGGTGATATACTCGGTTTGACCGACAAGGAAATTGTCAAGGCACACGCTGGGTTAGCCGAGGAGAGCTTCAGGCGGGAAGCTGAGATCTTGTTAGCCGATGGGCAATTGACCCAAAAGAGGATGGAGCAATTGGACAAGCTGCAGAAGAATTCGGGACTGCCGCCCCAGTATGCGCAGAAGGTCATTAAGAGCATAATGAGTACGAAATTGTCGATGGCTCTCGAGACAGCTGTCAGCCGGGGGAAGCTCAGCGTAAAAGAAATTAGGGATTTGAAAGAAAATGGGGTTGATGTGGACAACATGATCACCGAGAGTTTACGAAAGAGTATATTCAGGAAGACGATGGATAATATTTTCTCGTCCGGCACTGGGGAGTTCGACGAGGAGGAGGTGTATGAGAAAATCCCAAAAGATCTCAACATTGATGCCGGGAAGGCCAAGGGAGCTGTTAAAGAGCTAGCTCGGACTAGGATGCCAAACTTGCTCGTTCAGGCGGTGGCACTTCTTAGGCAGAAAAACCTTGCAGGGGTGGTAAGTATTTTTTCAGTTTTCACGTTTTCCAGAATTCTAATTTCAGGGTTTTTTTTTTCCTCCTTTAGGATTTCCCCATTTTCTTTTAGACTTAGTGGATCAGCCTATTGGGGTTCATTTCTTTATACTAAACATTTTTAGTTATTTTGATTTTGTATAATATTTTTGAGCTTTTTGGTGCATTTTATTGTTTATTTTTCAAAATTTAAGCTTTAGTGACCTTATGGGATCTAATCATGCCACGAGCGTAATTATTCTTATTATCGTTAAGTCTTAAAACTGAAATGATGTTGCTCGGTGGGTTTCTGATTGTTGCAGGTTAATTCCATCAATAACATCTTAGCCTGTGACAAGGCTGTACCCTCGACTCCACTGTCGTGGCAGGCCCAGGGGGAACTTAATGACCTGTTTGCCGTGTACCTGAAAAGTGATGCGACTTCTGAAAACGTAGACAGAGTAAAGTACCTACTGAACATCAGTGACTCAGTAGTGGAAGCTGCGCGAACCATGGTGATAGATGAAAAAGTACCAGAGAAAGACGAGGAAGAATTTGTGTTTTGAATCCAAACTCCGAAAATCCTTTGCCCGAAAAATCCAAACCATCAGTGTATCGATTTTGTTTCATGTTAATTGGGAGTGTCGAGTGTGTTGAGCAGGATAATGCCGAATGAAACTCTTGTATTGGTAGATTTTATGCTGAAGAGAATAGCTGGATTTTTACAAGGGAATTTAATTCATTTGATTTGTAGCAAAGTTTAGAGATGCTTTTACCTTTAGTAAGATGTATGTGTGTTGCAATTTTCTTTTCCCACAGAATTTCATGTAATAAAAGATGTTTTGGTCCCTGTGAATTGTGATGTCTCACATGTGCATGTATGTGAAGGATCAAGGAAGGGGTATAGATGGATCCAAAAGGCTTCACATTTTGGATAATATAAATTTAGTTTCATGGCTTAAGCTAATCATTGTTTGAGAGCTATGTTTGGTAAACTTAACTGATAGAGTGTGTGTGAGATTCGAGTTTATAACTTATGGCTGAGAAGCTAACTGTTATGTTAAAAGTGCTTAATAAAATTAGCTAATAAACCGAATTAAATAAAATTTTCAACAGGCTTATTTGAAAGCTACACAAGCAAGCTTATAAGATAAGTTTGAACTTTTTTAAAAAGTTCGTTCTACCAAGTCAAACTTATTTGAAGACATGTAGCTTATACACTAACTAAAAAAATTTATAAGCTAGCTTACAATGCTTATTAAATACACTCGGTGTGTTTTATGTATTTGACAACTGCAATTATTCCATGTATTTAATCACTGTGTGAGTTTTTAAACAATGGACGAGGAACTAAAACTCACTATTTTTGATTTTATCAATATAATCAAATAATATCAGTCAGTCATTCTTACATATCACATCAACTTTAATTTATTATTCATCAACTTACATAATTTTGACTATTACTTTATATTATCTCTCTTCCACTTTTCCATCAAATCAACTTTAATTATGTTATTTCAAATATTATTTTAATATAAATTCAGAATCTCACTGACAACTAACCATATAAATTTGAAAAAATAATTATTTAATAAATTTTTAAACTTAATTTAATTTTCTTAGAAAAAAAAAGAAAATAATTTGAAAATTAATTAATCGTTACACAAAAATATCTTTGTGGGCATTAAAAACGATAAAGCTTTAAAGGGATTGTGACGGCCCAAATCAACATGTAAAATGTGAAAAAAGAAAAAAAATCATATATAATATCAAATCAAATCTCCTTTAAATAAAAAAAATGATGAATAAACATAACTTTATGATAAAATGATTACAAAACTTTTGAAAGCGTGCAATCAAAGATTTTAATACGAAATACAAAAACTAAACGTATCATACTTAACAAATAAGTATCAATATCAAATACTTTTTAAAAATAAAAAAAATTGCTAAAAAAATAATCTAATTTGGTAATAATTGTTTCGACAAAAAATCATATTTTTTTTTTAATTTGTCTAACATTATTTATCATTCAACTTTATAATAATGATGGTTAAAACTCGACAATTAGACTTAATTTTAGAATAAATTAAGTCTTTAAGTATAATAATATTTATGTGTACATTTTTTTAAGAAGTCTCATCATCGCGTTATTACAAATCTAGGGTTGAAATTAATAAGGGGAAATTTAAATTCATTGAATATACTAATAATAATTATTAAAATTCTATAAATTTGATTAATGTTTGAAATTGATGAGGGGAAAGGTGATAGCAAAGAGTAAAAAAATCCACACGCGGTGTCTCTAATTTCTTGCATAGTGGATTTAAATAGATTATGTCATCATTCTTATTATATGATGATATAAGATTAACTTTTAAATAAATTAAAATAAATCTATTATTTCATTCAATATCTAGATGCATTTATTATTGTATTTTTATCCTTTTTATCTATGATAGTGATGTTGTTGGGCAGTGATATGGAATAGGATTAAAGCACAGAACATCACAGACTGAACCCACCGAGACAGAGCGAAAAGCCCGTAAGATGGGCCAAGATCGATCCCACATGTATGGGGATCGATCCCATGACCGAATCATCAGGGCCAGCTGCGTGATCGAGCTCTTAGGCTCTATTTTCGACCTCTTAGGCTCAGTCTTCGACCTCGCGAGTAACCATAAAATCAGTTTAATATTTTAAGATATCGTACAGGAGACAAATGTCTATATATACTGAAACGTTAACTGCGGTAAGTACGTCACATTTATTACTCAACATCCATAATACTACTATATACTCTCCTCATATTCATTTTGAGATGAATGTTTTGAGAAAAGATGAAGAGTGAATATGAAAAAAACATAGTGTATTTATTAACTAGATGAGGGTAATAATGGAAAAATGTGTACAAAATATCCAAAACGACCTTTATTTTGTTAATAGTTGATAATGTCAAAATGACATTTAAAAAAAATAGGAGGTAGTATTCATCTTCTCATTCTGTCTCCCCATACTAACTTAAGCTTCGAATGGTTTTGACGTCGGAAAACATTCAGCGTCCCTTTCTAAGTACCTACAAGCTCCAACTCTGATCGGAAACCGGACGAAGAGAGCGCATCCTTGAACCGAGGACCGTTCTGGACCGGAGCCACTTACGCTAGACCTTTTCAGGCAAGTTTTACAATTAGCAATTATATTATTTTTTTGGATACTTTTACTCGAAGCTCACATATTTACAATACAACATAAATAAAAATATGACGTTTTAAACTATATGAAATGACGGAGCTACACCTGGCTTAGGGGGCCCAGCCCCCGTAATTTTTTTTTTATTGAAAAATGCACTAACAGTCCTTATATTTTACCTTTCTCGATAAGTTTTTACAAAATTTATAGTGATTTACTCATTCAGTCTCTTAATTGTAACTCGATTTAGTGATTTATAACACCGAGTATTTAGTTGGATTGTTACTTGTTTCAATGGTTATTTTTTTTGTGTGTAATCACGTATTTTTAACTTTATAATTATTTCTTAAAAAAATGTTCATTTGATAAGCTCTCATCAACAAAAATGTTATACAATGTGCTGCAAAAGTTCAATTTTAAATCAATTTTTCAACAAAAAAATATACCTTTCCATAAATTATAGATGTTGAACTTAAAAATTGAAATCATTTTTTTTTTGGTTTATTTTTTTAAAAGTTTGAGGCCGATACGGATTCTAAGTTTTAGAAAACTTGATTGTTCACATATCCATATATATTTTATGTTTACAGTATATATATTTTTGAAATAATTTAATTTTTATAAAAAGTTTTTTTTGAAATTAATCAATATTCGAATACGTACATTTAATTTTATTAAAGACGAACGAAATATAATTTAAAATATTGTCACAAATTAAAAAAAAAATTCTTGAGAAACAGGAAAAAAGAGTATATGATAAATAAACATATTTTTTTATAATAATTATTTTATTATAAATAGAAAATCAAAATTTCATTTAAGGAAAAAGTATTTTAAAATCACCACAAAAAAAGTGGCAATCTAATAAAATAGAGAAAACATAAAAAAAAAAAACCTAATTTAATAATTTTTACAAAAAATAAAAAAATTATGCTATTTATAATATTATATACTCGCATGCGGGACCCCGCCGCACATTTCAATTTGTCACAACATGAAAAAATGGGCCCCACATTAGCTGCCAAAAATTTCGGTATTGGGTCAAACTGTCAAAGTCAACTTACTGCACAAACAATTTATTTATTTATTTATTATTTTTTTGTTCACAAACAATTTTGTCACACTATTTATTTATTTTATTTTATTAAATTAAATATTGGTTTTACAGTATTCTTGTTTATGTTGTCGGTTGGTGGTCAAGTTTTTTGTCCAACTCAGATTCCCATCTAATTAAAGATAATACAAGCAATTTAGCACAAATTATTCTATAATTTTGAAAAGACTTCGCGTCAAACGGTCTTTAGATGAGGTGTCACGCATTTTATTTTCATATTATAGTTCTAAAATTGTCAAATTAATGTTTTGATTTAAGACTTTTGCTTTACAATTTTTTTTTTTCTAGAAATGTTTTTTTTAAGCTTTCCTTTTTTGGATTTTAAGTAAAATATGACTTATTTTGCGATCAATTATCTTCTATATATATATATATATATAATGGACGAATTCATATTGTCGTTATTTACATGGTTTTGTGCGTGAATATTTTTGGGCAAAAATTCAATTTTGGTCCGCTAATTTGTCTATTGTCCACTTTTGGTACACTAACTTGTCCATCATCAAAAAAGGTCCATTATGGTACATATTTCATCAATTTTAGTACGCTAATCCCGTGGCCCGGGATTACGAGATGCCAAATCAGTTTTTTATCCTACCACGTCAACATATTATCCCTCCACGTAGTTCCAATCCCGGTCCACATTATCTCGTAATCCCGCCAACTGGAGTAGTGTACTAAAACTGATGAATAATATAACATAATGGACCATTTTTTATGAGGGACAAATTAGCGGACCAAAAGTGAACAATGGACAAGTTAGCGGACCAAAATTGAATGTTTGACAATATTTTTGTTTATGTTTGACATTTGATTAATTTTTATTTATGAGGGGGCGGATCTACATTATAGTTGAGGGAGGTCATTGTCCCCCAACATTTTTTTTTTTTCCTATTAAGCATATGTAAAGTTGTATTTTTTACATTGATCTTCTATTTAAATAAATAAGTTGAGGCTTTGATGAACAACAAACTCACCTAAAAATAAAGAATCCAAAAAAGAGTATTAGTAGAAAAATCTCACAACTCTATCCTAACTCATTTATGGTAGATCATGTACTAATTATTAGATCTTGTAAGTCTTCTACAAATACACTTGTATATAACTTATTACGAGGAGTGAGTTTAATATGCAGTTGTTTATTGTGTTTTTATGTTTATTTTCTTGTGTTTTATGTGTCATTGTTGAGTCTTTTTAGGTTCGTTTTAGTGTCGA